TATCCTGGAGAAACTGTTAACGGTGATAATTACTGTCTAATTATCTACAGAGATTAGCTTCAAGTCGTGGAGGAAAAACGTCCATATATTTTCCTATATACATATATATTATTTGATCCAGATGTTGCTGTGGTTTGATTAATTAAAATTTAGTAGGAACTAAAAGACGCGGGAATAGGGGCAGGGGGGACCCCTGAGCACGCGCACCACACGGACCACTTTACTGTGAACGCGCGCATGATCCACAGGACTTATTTAACCGCTGTTTTGACGTTTTGCGCAAACACATGATAAGAATTTGCGCCAGTCGGAGCAACCTTTGCGTGGTTTTCTCTCCTTAGTCAGAGTCGCAGGTTTGATCCGCGGTTTGATCCGATTCACTGGTCGCTTGGTAACATGAACGTGGTTCTAGTTTCCTACATGTTCCTGTAAATCCATTAGATTTCGTCTGAAAACATCATCATCATGGACTTATTTGAAAACGGCAAGGCTGTGAAAGTTTGTGCCCCGATGGTACGCTATTCAAAGTAAGTGGAACATGTGTCTTGTGTGGCTCCGTCTGTGTGCATGCTTCTCCACATGACTGACCGTGTTTTGTCCATCAGGCTGGGCTTCAGATCCCTGGTCCGGAGGTATGACTGCGACCTGTGTTTCACTCCTATGATAGTTGCAGCTGATTTCATACGCTCTGCTAAAGCCAGAGACAGTGAACTCACCACTGGCAGCTGTAAGTCTGATCTCACACTTTGGCTACAGTGCAGCACTCTTAAGCACCTTCTGGCTCACCTTTCTGCCTTCTTCTGACCCAGCTGACCGACCGCTGATCATCCAGTTTGCTGCAAAAGATGCTCAGACACTTGCAACTGCTGCCTGTTTGGTCGCCCCTTTCTCAGACGGCGTGGATCTGAACTGCGGCTGTCCTCAGAGGTATACTTCAAATACATTATCAGAGGCAGAAGGAAAAGTGGGAGGGAGCTGAGAAGCTGCTCTGAGTGCATTTGTTGGAAGATGCTGAAGTGTGTTGTCACGTTACCTGCTCTGACTTTGGTGTCATGTGTATGTTGATGTGGCTCTTGCAGGTGGGCCGTGGCAGAGGGCTACGGGGCGTGCTTAATTAACAAACCACAATTAGTAAAGGACATGGTGAGACATGTCAGGAACCAAGTAGACAATCCCAATTATGCAGTGTCCATTAAGATAAGGTACAGGTGTTTATCACTCATTTTTTGTTCAGTGTAATCATATAATTGGATAATCTATTTATTTTTTTTGCTTAGATTTTCAGTTTAATTCCAGAATTCACAAGGATGTGAGGAAGACCGTAGATCTTTGTCAGAAGGTGGAAGCAGCAGGGGTGTCATGGATCACAGTTCACGGGCGGACGGCTGATGAGAGACATCAACCGGTGCATTACGATGCCATCAAGCTCATTAAGGATAGCCTTCGCATCCCAGTCATTGCCAACGGCGATATTAAAAATCCCAACGATGTGGAGTCTGTGTGTGAGCTTACAGGAGTGGATGGTATGTGCTCATTTAGGTTTTCATTTAAAAAAAAAAAAAAAGCTACTATTATTATTATAAATAATTATTTGAGAGGAATATAAATATACACTCATCCTCCACTTTAATAGGAACACCTGTATACCTGCTCATTTATGCTGTTATCCAGTCAACCAATCATCAGTATAATACAAAAAATAAATGCAGATGCAGGTCAAGAGCTTCAGTTAATGTTCACATCAAACATCAGAATGAAGAAAAAGTGAGATCTCTGTGGCTTTAACCGTGGTGTGGTTGTTGGTGCCAGATGTGCTGGTTTGAGTATTTCAGAAACTGCTGATCTCCTGGGATTTTCCCACACATCAGTCTCTAGAGTTTACATGTTTCGATTTAAAGTGGACGGTGAGTGTATAGTGGATATAAAAAAATGAAACCAGTATAAATCATTTCAGATCTTTTGCCACCTTTAATGTGATGCCAACGAAATTCAAGTGAAAAACAAATTGAAACCTTTTAGGGGAAAAAAAAATTAATACTTTATTAAAGCACCTTTTATATAGAATACATAATTTTTTTGGTTCGTGGTTATAAGTATAAAATCAAAAGACACTGTGTGTGTGTGAATTTGAAGTGGATATATGCTCTGGAAAACAAAAACAAGTGTCTGAATACTGAATATTTCCCCTCACTGTATGAACCTTTCACCAAAGACAAAGATCTCAGGCATTCTTCACAATCAACCCTGAAATGGAGGCAGGAACCCAAAATGTATTGCAGTCAATAGTCTCTGGACTGATTCAAGATCCTTTCGAGATGTTGTGACCATTTCCATGAAGCTCAGTGCTGTTATCATCTTGAGAGATCACCCCCAACTTTCAGCAAATCGGCAGGCTGCTAATAATTCAGAAACCTGTTTATATGGGTTTATTGCATGTGTGGTTTTAGGCATTTGTGTCCATTTTTATGAAGACTGCAATATTTGTTGTAGAATGTGAAAGGATCTTTATCTTTATTTGCCATCTTTTACAGGAGTGATGTCTGCTCGGGGGCTACTGGCCAATCCAGCGTTGTTCGCAGGCTATGAACACACTCCGTTACAGTGTTTGTGGGACTGGGTGAAAATCGCCTTGGAGCAAGGGACTCCATTTACATGCTTCCACCATCACCTAATATACATGTTAGAACACATCACTTCTCAGCCAGAGAGGAAGGTCTTCAATGGTTTATCAAGTACATCTGCAATCATTGATTATCTACAGCAGACTTATGGCTCTTTCTAGTTATGAATACACAACTATGAGAAATACTCTGTGAACTTTTTTAAATGTACTTTTTAAAAAAAGAAATAAAGACTTTTGAATAAATATCGTCATATTTGTCTTTATATTTAGTTGGGGGAAAAATGTAAATTAAAGTTTGGTTTTGTTATTCAGAAGGGAAATAATATGGGTCAATAGTAAAAATGGAAATACCTATTACACAGAAATATAGTTCCTGATGAGTGTGTGCAAAGTGCTACTGGCTCAAATGATTCAATATTTGAAAGCATTTATTATAGCATTCATTATAATATTTTGGCATTGCCCTGTTTCTAAGGAATAAAGCTCATGTTTATATGTTTTATTATATTTTGGATCCAAAATAAAGGTATGTATTTTCAAATTAAACGTAAAATGCCAGATTTGGGTTTCCGTGTGGTTTATGACTGATTTATATGAGAGGGTGCGTAAGGAGAGCTCAGCTGTCCTGTTTGAGTCTGTAGCCCACTGTAGCCTCAGATTCCTGCTCGTGGCTGACAGAAGTGGAATTGCATGCAGTCTTCTGCTGTTGTAGCCCATCCACCTCGAGGTTTGACCTGCTGAGATGCTTTTCTGCTTGCCACGGTTATAAAGAGTGTTTATGGCAGACTTCCTGTCAGCTCGAACCAGTCTGGCCATTTTCCTCTGACTTCTCATCAACAAGGTGTCTCCTGCAGCAGATCTGCCCCATTCTGTGTAAACTCTAGAGACTCTACAGGTTCAGGCACCAGAGCCATGCCACGGTCACTGAGAGCTCATTCATTCCCCGCTCTGATGGTTGATATGAACATTAACTGAAGCTGTTGAGTTGCTGCCACATGACTGAATGGCTGATTGGATAAATATATGAATGATCAGATGTACAGGTAATAATAATAATAATAATAATAATAATAATAATAATAACAACAATCACAACAGCAGCAACAACAACAATAATAATAACAGCAGCAACAATAATAATAATAATAACAGCAACAACAATAATAACAGCAACAACAACAACAACAATAATAATAATAACAGCAACAACAATAATAACAATAATAATAATAATAACAGCAGCAACAACAACAACAATAATAATAACAGCAGCAACATCAACAACAACAACAACAATAATAATAATAACAGCAGCAGAAACAACAATAATAACAACAACAGCAACAACAACAACAGCAACAAATAATAATAATAATAATAATAATAATAATAAAACTATATATTACACATATCATTATTAAAGTTAAAGTTATTATGCCGTCTCTCCCCCCTGCACTGTCATGACACCTGTCTTCATTTTCATTTCGGAGGAAAGAGAAAACCTGCCCCGGAAGTAAAGGGGCTTTGCTTTAACGCGACGGTTCTTGTTCTAAACTTTCTGCGGCGTTTATCAGGACTGTTTAATGATGTTCCTCAGTTAAACTACACGGAAGTGAGTATTAAATTGTGTAACTGGTCTTTCACACATGGTTAGAGTTTATTCAGGCATTTGTTTGGTGGTTTAACTACCAGGAGCTGTTGCAGGCAGGAAGTTCCGGGAGAAGCGCAGTAATGTCTCAGCATGAAGAGTGTTTCAACTTATTAATCCCGAGCCTGTGTAAACCTCAGCAGTGTAAAGAACACACTGACAGTGAAAAAAAAGTCTCATGCAGCTAATTTCTCACCAAACCTCAAATGTAGGTGGTAATCTGATCACTGTTTTTCTCATTTAAATATAATCCAGAAGTCCAAAACGGTCTAAAGCGACAGGGATCTGAGAGGCATGGTTCAGGAAGAGATCAGCCTTGTCATGATGAACACTTTTTTTATACAGAAGAGAGCCAACATGAAGAAGTTCTGAAGTTCTGCTTAACTAAACCAGACTAAACCAAATGCTTTATAAGACTCAAAAAAAAAAAAAAAAAAAAGACTGAAGCTCTTTAAAAGTCATTTATAGTCTAGTAAGTACAATAAACATCTAATATATATATATATTTTTTACAACAAAAAAGTTCAATATAGTTTAAAAAAAAAAAAAAACAGCAGTGGAAGCCTTTTTTTAGAGCTTTTTCTTTCAGCTGCTCCCGTTAGGGGTCGCCACAGCGGGTCATCGATCTACATGGTTGATTTGGCACAGTTTCTATGCCCTTCCTGAAGCAACCCTCCCCAGTTTTATCCGGGCTTGGGCCCGCTACTAGGAGTGCACTGTCGAGTGCTGTTCCCTGGCTGGGGCTCGAACCCAGGCCGCAGCGCCGAGAGCGCAGAGGCCTAACCACTAGTCCTCCAGGGACCGACTATGTTCTATGTAGAACCATACAAAATAGGTTCCTTTAGGGTGCCTTATGAGTTGGGCTTGAGCTTGTCAGTAGAAGAAATGATTTAACCAGACAGTAATACTGCTGCATTCCTTTGAACGTTTTCCCTGACAGGAAACACAGGCCTGTAAAGATGACTTTGCAGTGGACCGCGGTGGCTTTGTTCCTCTACGTTGAAATCGGAATTCTTATCCTGCTCTGCCTGCCATTCATCTCCGCTCAAAGGTAAACCGGAATGGAGTGAACACACTGTCTGTGAGGAATTCTGTATGGTCAACATTTATGCTCTTTTCCACCTCCCTACACAGTTAACTCATTGCTTATAGCCATTCATTTTTTCGTTCATTATCTTCAGTAACCGCTTCCAGTGGATGCAGAGCCTATCCTGGGAATACTGGCTGGAATACACTCTGGATGGGATGCCAGTACATCGCAGTTGCAGATTATTACTTCTTTAAAATGCACACAAATCATCACAGATCATTTGAATTAAGATCTTTTAAATATAACCTCTGTCATTATTTTTAGGTTTGACTGTTGTTTTTTGTTTTAATCATAAGCCTAAAACACACGAGCCAAAAACAGACTTAACGTAGGGGTTCACAGAGACTCAGGTTTCCCATCCATCCATGTGATCACAATCCCAATGCAGCCGTGATCTACTGTAATGTGTTGGGGAGGTGAATACCAGGATAAATGAATAATTTCCACTTTTGTCAAATTCTATATACTATTTCAGGATTACTTACTGCATTTGTCACTGTAAATATATAACTCTTGTTGTTTTTGCAGTTATTGAAATAGATTGTCCATCAAGTATAATGTTAAATTGTTAATCAGAAGGTATAGTAAGATTGCATTAAATAGATTAGCAATAGATTAAACTGGCTTTTGTACTGGAAGAGCTAGCTCTTATTGGTGTGCTGAGCCAAATTCTCTGACTCACTAAAAAGATTACAAATGCTTAATTACTAACAGACAGCATACGTTCCCTTGTCTCTGTGTGTGTTATGCAAGGAAAAGAAAGGGACCATTCTGTACCAATGCTTTACCATTATGGCTTGTTATTCTTTTGTGCAGATGGCAGATCATTTTCAATCTCAACATATGGAACCATGTTGCTTGGCTCTGGAAAAGAGGGTTTCTGGCAATGATCATTATCCTCATTGTACTCTTCCTGGGTATGTGAAGTGACCCTACTCTTTCTCTCTTAACAACAGCATGTTATAATGGCGCATACAATTGTTTTAACAGATAAACATTGTTTGGTGTTGCATTCAGTTTTGTAATTGTAACGTAACTGTTTCTCATCACTGCAATTAGAAATGCTTGGAAAGCAATTTTGCCAAAATTTGATGCATTTTTAGGTTGAGTCTAACAGAGTCTTCTATATTGTACTATAGATGCTGTGAGGGAGGTGAGGAAATACTCCGGAGCTCAGATCAGTAAAGACTCTAAGACGTACCCTAACATGTTTGACCATGTGCACATGAAGCTGTTTAGATCTCAGAGGAACCTGTACATCTCTGGCTTCGCCCTCCTCCTGTGGCTGTAATACCCTTAATACCTTTATAACAACATAATGAACAACCATTGTGTTGTCAGATGTGTGTACTAACAACATATTTGAGTTCTGCTTTCACCTGTTTGATTTTTTTTTTTTACTTGCGTGTAAACTGGCAGGGTCATGCAGCGAGTCATCAAGCTGATAAATCAACTTGCAGCGGCTGCAAACACCAACTCGGCTCTTCATGTCCAGATAGAGGATGCTAATCAGTCTGCCAAAAAATATATGGAGGAAATTGAACAGCTCAAGCAGGTTTTTCTTTTTTTTTTTTTTTTTTTTTTTAATTTAAACATTTGACCATTCCTTTGAGTTAATCAAGTGCCAGATTACATTGGCACATGAATGATTACATGAATTATGCTTTACTGTGGAAAAATACAGTAGTATTATAATTATGATGATAGCTATGGCTGAACACTATAGGTTATTTAAAAAAAAAAACAGGGTCAAAATGTTAGGGAAACAAATAGGTTTGTTCAACTAATATTATCCTAACACAGTATCCTAAACCTGAAATGTGCACTGATAACCTATATTTGGTTATCACTGGTGAATCTATGTTCAGCGTCACCTCTCCTAACCACCAGGGGCAGTGATTAACATGTATACCTCCTTGTGCCCTTCAACACAGTCATGTGACCATTGTCATACAGTCAGTGGTCACCTTTTTCTTGCCACATTATCATGTCAGGCCTTGTGCACTTTTGAGCCATCTGTCCTCCAAAGCTTCTGACTGACTCTGATTATCTCTTAACGGCTGTGAGGAATGTATTTCATACTTTTTGGTTGTTCAGCTACTAGCTTGTGTTGGGTTCCCTCATCAGTGTGCTAGCCTTGTTATCCAACACTCGTGCACTGTCCGCGGGTTGTGGACCAGATGCATGCTTTCCTCTGTGCTATGACTTTTTTGCATGCTGCACGGCGACCCCTTGCCGGTCTGTGAATGCCGCTGATATAGTTGGGTGGTCCTCCGTCACCATTCACTGCAACCCCTGATAGGCAGAGTAAGAAGCTAAAAAAGTGATTGGAGTCTGTTTCTGGGCATGTGGACAACCTGGAATCAGACAGAGAGACATTTCCAATCTGTCAGTGAACTGAGAGTTGAACTGCAATCTTCATCCTGAAAAGAAGCTGAATTGTCATCCGGCTCACAGGCACTGGTGGCACACTCCAAACAGACTGTGACAGACATTAAAATGGTGGTGGCTCATATTGGATGTGCGGCCCATAGCACTGAATACGCTCTCCAGCACGACGCCAGTCATGAAGGATTTCACTGTGCCATAGTGTAAAGACTATCGAGACCACTAAAGGAGGTTTTGGACCATCTGCTATACCATACTGTGTGCAGTGCTGCCTGCTGTTGAGGATGCCAGAATCGCTAACTGTAGTAGATCCCGTGGGCTCGTTAGGAGTTTCAGAAGTGGCTTATCAGCATGTGTCTAAACCCAAAAACCACAGAAGGAGAGACATCCTCGTTTCATTGTCCCACAAATGCCTGGCACACTGAAATGACCTGCAAGACCTTGGTTTCCACTGTTGCTTTCACTGCTGGTCGGAATACAGATTCCGTCCCAAATAGACTTATTATCCCAAATGCACAGAAAGATATGGCTCCCTCAGCCAGGTCACCTTCCCCTGTGGGTTTGACCCCTTGGAGTGAAGTGCTGGCTGAGGACTGTGACCCAGCAGATACTCATGAACGCAAGAGCCCCTAGTCCATGGGCTTTGTGTGACCTCAGGTAGAAACTGCTCAGCAAATGGAATGCACAGCCTCATCTGTATAAAGGTGTATGTTGCAGGCATTGCAGAACATTACAGCATCATAGATGGTGTGTTGCTGTGGTCTCATAAACTTGTCAAAAACAATCTGAAGGAAACCCGTCCATCACGCTGCCCCAAGAAAAACTGAAATGGGTCTCTCGAAAGACTGCCTTTTTGCTAGTGATCACTTCAGCATGTTAGGGTTTTGCTGGGAATCCAGCAAACCCCCACTAGGCCACCAGGGAAATGACTCAAGTGCAGAGGAGTGAGGCGAGAGTAGAGTAAAGGAAACAGATATTTACTTAAGATCCAAAATCCAAGGCAAAAAAATAACAAAAAGTATGATCCAAATGCTCAGAAGATACAAGGGAAAAAATAAAAGTCCAAAAAGTTCACAAGAAAGCAAAGTACCAAAACAACACAAAGACATAATTAAGAAACACGGAACAGAGGTTACTAGTCTTAAACATCACAGCACAAAGACTCCGTGACCAGAGGCCAAACTGAGGGGGTATAAATACACAAACAAATCAAGGGGCAAACTGAAAACAGGTGTACGTAATGAGGACAAGGCGGGGCACATGGAAAAACAAAAGCACATGGCTGTCAAAACAAAACACAAAACACAGAAGCAATAGCGGCCTCTAGAGGCCAAGATAGTCCAAGTCCTAACAGGACCCCCCCCTCAAGGAGCGTCTCCTGACGGGCCAAATGGAAGTCCCGACAAAGATCTTTGTCTAAAATGTCCCGGGCGGGGACCCAACAGTGCTCCTCAGGGCCATAGCCCTCCCAGTCCACCAGATATTGAAGCCCGCCACGGACCCGGCGGGAGTCCAGCAGGCGGCGCACAATGAACACGGTCTGACCCTGGAGGATGCGGGGAGGCGGGGGATTCCTAGGGGCAGGGGCATAAGAGGACGTCAGTACGGGCCGCAACAGGGATACATGGAATGTGGGGTTGATCCGTAGAGTCCGGGGCAACTGGAGCCGGTAGGCGACAGGGTTCACCCTGCGCACCACCTTGAAGGGGCCAACGTAGCGAGGGGCAAGTTTGCGGTTCTCCACCTGCAGAGGAAGGTCCTTGGCGGACAGCCAAACCCGCTGCCCAGGACGGAAACTGTGGGCAGGCCTTCTGTGGCGGTTGGCCTGAGTCTGGTTCGCCCTGGAAGTCTGGATGAGGGTCCTCCTAACCTTGTTCCAGGTCTTGCGACACCGTCTCACATACTGGCCAACCGAGGGCACCCCAGCGTCCTCCTCCTGTTCCGGAAACAGAGGTGGCTGGAACCCGAATTGGCACTGGAACGGCGACAACCTGGTGGCCGATGACTGCAGAGTGTTGTGGGCGTACTCTGCCCATGGCAGCCAGGTGCTCCATCATGTCGGGTTATCCATTGCCAGGCCTCGCAGGGTGGTCTCCAGGTCCTGGTTGAGCCTCTCAGTCTGGCCATTGGACTGGGGGTGGAACCCAGAGGAGAGGCTGGCAGTGGCCCCGATGAGTTTGCAGAACCCCCGCCACACTCAGTAGGAGAACTGGGGCCCCTGGTCTGAGACGATGTCCTGTGGGAGACCAAAGACTCGGAAGACATGAGTAAATATTAGTTTGGCTGTTTCAAGAGCAGAAGGGAGTTTGCACAGCGGTATGAA